TTGTTTAGTATTCTGCAAACTGTACAACCTCTGACTTAGTATTTATAGGCGACTTGGATTTATAAGAAAATCATTACTTTTACAGGTGCTATAATCTAATGGTCGGTAGCCCATATTTGGTGCTTTGAACCGCCCTTAGATATTGACTATTTGATCGATGTAAGATTAATGCTGGTGAGTCCTTAATTGCTATAATTTATTTCTTGCACATAGCTGATGTCACTAATAGTACAATAAAGTACACACAAATTATGTCGTTTAAAAAATTAGTTGATGGATATGATTGAATTTTATGCTCTTTTATAAAATAGGATTGTAATTCATTAAGACAATTTCACTAACTATTCAAAATTGGTATAGGGTTCAAGCAAATTATACTAGACAGGGTGGCAACACTACGCATGAATGAATCTAATCCGTCGATAGTTTTAGTAACAAATACACACGCTTTTACTTTCTTCAAATTTTTTTCGTGCCCTTTCACTTTCCTGAACGAGTTTTTGGCGTTTTGACCTGAAAAGTCAATCGTACAACTTGAGCTTGTACAATAACACCAAGGCTGAGTCCTATACTTTGCAACATTTTGAAGTGTGTAAATAAATTCTAGCTAAAATAATTCATAATTATAGAAATAATTAAATGAGTAGGCCATAAGGTACCTCCATTTTCTAAATCATGTAGTTTATATAACTAACTAAACTGAAGACACTGATTAGCCACCTGTAAAGCCTGGCAAATAAATAGTCAACCCGTGGGCACCGGAAGCGATGTCGTTTTATTAACATGCAAGGCATCTAGATGGTGTTGACCCTTCACATTATCACATACAATATTTTATGTAGATGACAAATGTCACAAATCTACCAATTTAATACTTAAATATCGAATCGACCTTAAAAATTTAAGTTATAGAGACGAAACAAATTTATTTATTGAAATCGTATCTTTCAACACCTTATTCACGTGGTGGGTTAGAGAAGTTTGTTAGGGATAGGGACAGGGGTAGGTGCACTCCTTACGTTAAAAGCATTGAAAAGTCACAAATTGAATTGATAGATGGAGATCTTGATACCAGACGCTCATAAATTTTAGTTTCTACGTATGCCGGAGTTACTCACTTTCTTTGCATAGAAATCTTCGGTAGGTATTTATTCCTCATATTTGTAACTCCACTCGAAAAGTGAAAGAGAGTTACTCACTTTCTTTGCCTAGAAATCTTCGGTAGGTATTTATTCCTCATATTTGTAACTCCACTCGAAAAGTTAAATCTTTCACGGAAAGCTTAGATGATTTTAGGATAATTATTTTTTATATGATAAAAAATAAAAAGAATAAAAGTAGATCCAATATTTATTTAAATTTTATCATCGACCCCAAAGTCGTTTGCCAAAAAGGAAAAAGGGAAAATGAGAGACACTGAAAAGGAGATGCTCACATGTTATGCAAAATGAATGAAGGATTACTAGATTTGAGGTGTTGACCAATAAGAGGAATATAATTGATTAGCTAGTTGAAGATTATATGCACCATCCATATTGGATTCTTGACTTTAGTTCAAACTTTAGTGTCGAGTGCACTAGAAGAAATACTAGTGATAAATAGTCACAATTTTGGCCATAAGAGCTGAGCACTAGTCGGGTCGATTGCGTTAAAATAAACTCATGTTAATGGTCGGTACGCATTATCCTTTGTCGTACCGATCGATTTAACGTGAACCCGTATAAGTTCATTGTTAATTTTTGAAGTTGTGGTAGAGACAATCAACTGATTTGACTGATATGAAAGCATAGTTTGGTGCAAAGCAATTCTTAAAAGTAAAACTCATCCATGTAGACATTGCAAATTGTCAACTCTTGAACAGCACAAACCATAGACAAGCTCCACGTATGTTTAATCAAAAACTAAAAAGGCATCACTTTAAATCTTCAAAGTTGAAGCATCCTTTGAAAACATGATCTATATGAATGTGAAATGTCCACTCATCTTCTGCAAGTTTATCCAAAATCTTCACTTTTTTTTTTATGTTGGATTGCATTTTGACAATGTAGAATTTGCCTCTTGACTCTATTGAATCACCTTATTTAAATATTCGTTCGATTTTAAGTTTTTAATCAAAAGTTAGATAACTACGTAACTTTTAGAATAAATTTAATGTACCATTTGTTACACTCGTATTCCTAACTTTTTTAAAACTTGATACCCATGTTCTCTGATAATGGAAAACATTTATCTGAACGTTAAATCACATGGTGTTGTCTGGTTGAAAGATTAAAATAATTTAAAAATGGTGACTTCAACTTCTATTTAAATTTTGAATAGGGTAAAATTCCTCATGTTCATGAAACATATCATTGCTCGAATCTATCTTTGACATCACGTGAAGGTCAAGAAAGATATTTGACGTTTATAAACCTTTTTTTGTTAGGTTGAGACATAGATGACATTACTTTAAAAGATTGGGGACATTACGAAAAGTTAGAAACATTTTACGATACTTACCCTAAATTTTACAAATGAGCGACTGTAACACTTAAGGGGTGTTTGATGAATATTATGGAGGAAAAAATGTATTTTAAATAGT